AAGTGAAACGACCCATGCCCACAAGGCAAACATCCATCCCCATGACCTTGACCTTGAACTTCGTCTCTGCGGCTCTGCTGTCCTGGGATATCCGCGACACCTACTACTATTAAGAAAAATCTGCTACCCGTGAAGCATTCACGACTGTGTATTTGAGGGTAATCCACTTTCATTTAAATGAAACCCAGCTGGAATTTTGAAGAGAGCCATATCTCGGATCGATGATATTGGTTGCGTCCCATATTTCACCCCTCCCCCAAATTCCCTATATACAAAATTTCAATGAGTTTCGTCCGGGCGTTGGATAGGGTATGATTTTGAGCCATGCACGCGATGCAGATCGGCTCGATCGGACCGACCCGACCCGACCCGACCCGACCCGACCCGACCCGACCCGACCCGACCCGTGGATCGGGCGGGCGTCTCGGCAATCGAGTAGGGTGCGGGACGAATACGCCATCAGAGGGGGTCTTTTTGCTGCTGACAAGAACACATCGTTCCGTCGGTGCTCGATGCGATCGCGTCATTCAACGACGATGTATTTTCTGATCGTTCGGAGTAGATCCTTCCTCGGGATATCTACCGATGTCGAAATGCATCGTGGGGGGGAAATCTGAAACTCGTGGATTTTTACGTTCTGTGGCGTCTAGACGCTCGTGAAGAATTTCAGGCTTTAGACGACAACAATAGGCAGACCTATCTCTCCCGTGGAAAAGGAAATCTGTCATCCGGGTGATGAGCTCGTGAAGAGAGAAAAGCGAAATTCCGGTGAGCTCATGCCGACGAGTGCGAGCAAAGGTCAGCCGATGACGAGGGGGAATCGACCGGGCCGAGGGAGAAACCGCCCGACCGAATCCGGTGGTTCTTCGGCGACCGGAATCCCCAAACCCGCGGATCCACACGGCCGACCGAGGACGAAGACCGGAGCGAGGAAGGAAGCCGGACCCGGTCCGGAGCCCCACGACCCTCGCGTTACGGCCGACCGGCCCCGCGTGCGTCTGAGATGGCATCGGGCGCCCAAAAAACCTCTCACCGTTGCAGATTCGCCATCCCCGTTCGAGCTCGACCACTCCACCCGAGACGCTCAAAGATCCCAATTCGGATCGGAGTCGACCTCCGAACTCCAGGACGCGGGTGGAGGAGACACTCGAGACCTGCCGTCCCGTTTCCCCCTCCTTCGCCTCGAGAACCTCTCTCTCTCGCGCACTCTCCGCGACGTCGGCTCGGACGATCCCGGGAAGCCGCCGCCGATTCCGATCGCGATCCGTCGGACCCTCCCTCCTCGCAGGCCCAGCTCTGCACGACTCTCGACCGAGAGCAATCAGGTCGTGGAGCCGGATGAAGAACTGCAGAAGACCCCCATGGAAACACCATCCCCTCCTCCGCCGATCCCATCCGCCGAATCGGCACGGCCACGATACTTGGAAGATGACCGAAATCGTAACGAAACGGAGAGCATCCTAAGCGAGTCCTGGTTCCCCTCGACATCACGACTGATGGAACCACCGAGTCCCCCCTCCGACACCGCCTCTTCTGGATCGATCTCGATCCCCATCGTTCCCTCCTGGACGACACTGCCGACACTCCAGGACTCCCCACCCCACCCATCTCGCACCACCCTGTCAGAGCGTCCATCCCTCATCGACCACGCTTCTCCCGCGGGTGCAAGACGTCCCTCACCGAACCGTCTCCGGCAGACGACGCCTTCGATTTCCCTCCGTTGCCCGCGCGGCCGACCGTCCGAGCAGGACTCGACGACGACGGCTTCGGCCCGAGTGCCGATGGGCCCCGTTCCCCACCGCCCCACTCAGGTCCCATCCGTCCCGGCTCTTCCATCCCATCGCATCCTCGAAGAAAACGCGACAGACCCATCGTTGAAGAGTTCCTCGTGCACGACATTCGGAGCCGACGTTCCGTCCTTCGATCGGAGCGCCTCGACACCCACCCCTCATCCACCGTCCATCACCTCGGCTCCCACTTTTCGGTCCCTTCCACCCCGAGCTCCACCCTCGAGATTCTCCATGCCCAATGCGGGAGTGCTCCGCTCCGAGTTCGCCGACATCAACGGAGACAGCTATTTCACGGTACCGAAAGAGGAACCGCCAGAATCGGAGCTCCGTCGGAAGACATCGACCGACACGGCCCGGATCGAGCCGTCGAAGCCCATTCCGAATCGAAAGCAGAGGGGGAAATCGGGGACCAGGCAAAGGTCGTCTCCTCGTCGCTCGAAGACTCCGTCTCGGCCGCCACGAGTCCCGTCCATTCCAGCGAGACGGAGCCCGAGCTTGGCCAAGGAGCTCGTGGATTATTTCCTTGGGGTCGAGAGGAAAGATGATTTCGTGACGCCCCCGCTCGACTCTTCCAGGTCCAACTACAACGGCTACTTCTTCCGGGAGCTTTACGACGAATCCTCGTCGGAAGACGAGGGACGAGGAAGCGGTGGCGGCCAAGTCCCAAGTTTTCCAGCGAGGCATCGATGCGGCGCCTCCGCAGGCAACGCTGCTCGCACTTGCCTTTACTGCCGGGTGACGGATGCCTGTCGCTAACATCGAATCGATCGAATCCTTTCGGGTTTTTGCCCACCCTGCTTCCTCTTCGCCGTCCTCACGGGTTGTCTCTCCCAGTCCGATTCGAATAAAAAATCAAGCTCCCTCCTTTGAAAAAGAACTACTCTTCGTGCGACGAAGTCGATCGCACGGGAAAGTTTTTCGAAACTGTGCAACTTGTGATCACGGCTGGTCGTAACGGAACGATTCCATTCAACCGTGGAACCCCTAACCTCGAGAGCGAAGCAAAAAAAATATATTTTCAGAGCCTGATGGCATCTTGAAACTCTGAGTCGTACTATAAGATGGTGCAAATTGCATTTGTGGATGTCTTAACTTTTTTTCCATTTGTGTTCAAAATTGGAAAGAAAATTTAGGAAAACCCTATATTTCGGATCGATGATTTTGGGTGCATCCCATATTTCATCCCCCCCCCCCCCCCCCCCCCCCCCCTC